AAAGTCCGCATTCAATAAATGCAACAATAGGGAAGGGCATGGAGTCTCCATCAAGCATGATTGAGTCCTCCTGCCTCGGTAACCTCAAATGGACGTTAGCTGGGATCGAGAACTCCCCCCTAAAATGCTCTAGCTTTTCTGGGGTGTCTACCCTCCACCTAATCATTCCCATGATATCGGCTTAGTAAGGATAAAACAACATTTTGAGAGAAAGTGACTAGTATGGCTCTACGAACCTCGGCTAAACCCAAAACAGGTACTGGGGCATGGGATTTTGAAGATCTAAGGGGAATTTGTTTCGATTTCCTAAAGAATAAGGTTCTAAGGCAAATCCCAAACCTAGAAACTACAGAAAAACGAATCAAAGGCAAAAATCTAGAAATATAACAAGACAAATAGAAAAAAGAGCATGATCCAAAAATCAAGAATGCAACCGAGATTCAAGAATTAAGAAAATCATAAATCCGCAGAACAATAAGTGAGTGTGTGCAAGAGTCAGAAGCAATACGCACATTCTTGAACAATAAGTGAGTGTGTGCAAGGGATTTTGAAGATCTAAGGGGCATTTGTTTCGATTTCCTAAAGAATAAGGTTCTAAGGCAAATCCCAAACCTAGAAACTACAGAAACACGAATCAAAGGCAAAAATCTGGAAATACAACAAGACAAACAGAAAAAAGAGCATGATCCAAAAATCAAGAACGCAACCGAGATTCAAGAATTAAGAAAATCGTAAATCCGCAGAACAATAAATGAGTGTGTGCAAGAGTCAGAAGCAATACGCACATTCTTGAATTCAGAAACAGATTGTGTTACATCAAACAGGTTCAAGAAACAAGAAATGATGGCCAAAGCACGAAGATAGAAACAGAGAGCAATTATAAATGCATATACAGATTCCACAAAAATAGGTATGAGGGGAATCGTATAGCAAAATTCAAAATGAAGTCATATGAGCATGGCCAAGAATAGTAAACAGCAGTGGAGAATTAAAGTAAAAATAAAAAAGAAACGGAGGACTTACCGATTGAAGCCAGAGTGAGATATGCCGGAATCAGACAAGCTAAACGATCAAAGTCAAATGATGAGTGGTGTGCTGACGGTAAACGACGAATGCAGTTGTAGAGAGCTTGTGAACGCAGCAATGGAAACTTTGGAAATGTTAGAGAGAGAGAGAGAGAGAGAAAGAAAGAGAGAGTCTGAGAGACAAGGGAAAAATTGTGAATTATAAAAGTAAAAGGACGGAGAGAGAACAAAGAGTTTTGTCAAAAACGCGAAAAGGTAGCAAACCATAATGAAATATTTTGGACGTCATGTTTGTCAGGCGGCGTGTGCAGAAGCAACGCATCCTGATGGCGCGTGTCAGGTACCGACCAATAAGGGATGGATGCGTGGAGGAAATGGCTGAGAAAACTGTGCATGACAGCTCATGCACAGATAAAACTCTTGGAGTTCTCAATTTAATGAAGCGAAAACCTTGGCTAGTGGAACGATCTCGGGTTAAGGAACTCGAAGAACTTGGTTTTTGGTTCTTGGTCATTGATAGAGATGGGCAGTTGAGTCCTGAGTACTTAAAACCGACGAGTCATGATCTAGGTCGAAGAAAATAGTGAATTTCAGTTGACGTTCTTCAAAAAGAAACAATGTAGGTTTCATCATCTCAGGTTGCTGAGGTAATAGAAACTAAGGGGCAATTATGGGGACATATTTTGTAAATGATAACAAGTGGCCAAGGTGATGCCGAAATGTCAGTCGAGGTGCCACGTAGCTTGGTCATGACGTCGAGGTGATCTCGGCTAGGCCGAGGTTATCTGCGGGGATATCGGAATCTGTGATAAGCAGATAAGGGGTAAGAGTCCTAGAACATGAGAGGATCTCAGTTTGGATAAAGATAAAGCTCTTAGGGAGTTATTCCTATCTGGCGGAGGGTCCAGGATAGGCATTAAGCCTGAGTCCACTAAAGTGAGGCTTCTACAGGGATCAGGCCACTGTTGGCTATAAAAGTAAGGCACCCACGTGGGTCTTAGGTTTGTGTAATAGACTGTGAGCAGTAAGTTCGTTCTTGTGAGTTTAAGCACAATTTGCTATCTTTGAGAGATATCGATTACTGACTTGATTGTCAGAGTGCCCCCGGGTGGACGAACCACCGCCGGATTCTTATTTTTCTGTGACAGGTTATTTGAGCTTAATCTATTCTGCCGGTACTCTCTAGTTGATTTCCCCCTTTGATTGTGGTCGAAAATCAACACCCATAGTTGCATTTTTTTTTAATTTTGTTTTCTTTTGTACTGCCGTCCTAACAATGGTAACTAACTTTTTTCTTTCTTTTTTTTTTTTAATAATTTGTTTTTACATAATGTCGTTGCAAGCGCAGGCACCCAGTCAGCAGGACAAATTGATAGGTTGTAACTTAGTATATATAATTACATAGTATACAATAACTAATTTAAGAGTATAGAATATTTATGAAACTTTTCATAATATTTCTTTCTTAATGCCTAACATTACTTGTATATATATATATATATATGGAGAAAGATTTCCTCCAGTCCAAAATTTAGATTGGAGGGGACTGTTTGGGCCTGTAGGGCTCACCATGAGCCACATTTCAATAATTCAAACTATTCATTTTGTCAGGCACTTCGTGTATTTAATCCACCAAAAAAAAAAAAAATTAGATTGATTTGATAACCGCAACTTGTTTAATTTATTATTTTGTCATAAAAAAATATAGTTTATTTTTTAAAAACATAATTATAGCTCATTTTTTTTTAAAAAAAATATAATAAATTGAACAAGTTACAGTTATCAAATCAATCTAATTTTTTGTGTGGATAAAATATATAAAATATCCAACAAAATGAACGATTTAAATCATCAAAATGAAACCCCCATAAGCTTCATAAGCCCACAGGTATTCTCTTCTTCCCTCTTAGTTTAAGTACCTATTTGTTCTTGTTTTCTTAATATGTATGCATGTAGGATAGTTCTTATGGCATGATTATTATTTAACTCATGTAATTTCTTCATTTTATTAACTTTTTCACATTTCTCTTGCATGTTCTCTCTATCTTATTAGAAAATCATATTTTTAGGCTTATTTTAATAACATAGTAATCATGCATGGCTCGGTTTGATCATCATAAGGGTGCTTACGGATCGGTTCTGTGCAGTTCGGATGACGGGTTGGACCGCTTGATGGGACACAAGTTGGGAGAAAATGGAACCGCGTCCGCCTGCAGTGCGAGTTGCGGATTGAACGAGTAGGTCATGTGATTTTGCGGACAATTGCAGACAGTTTATGAATTAGATTTTTCTTTTTTCAGGCTTTTGTGTTGGGGCCTTCCCCACTTTTTGAAGCCATAAAAAAAACAAACATAAATAAGTTTTTTTTTGCACTTTGAATATGCATATAACAAACAAAGACACAAAAAAACAAGACAAACATTTTTTTTTAATTATTATTATTCAACCTAGCTTTATCACATACAACAATGAAAACATTTTTTTTTATTAAATAAAAAAGAAAAATGTTACAATTATGGGAACAAAAGTCTGCAAACCCACAACACAACCAACAAACCAAATCATAAATAAATGAAGATGGAGGATTCCAGATCTGAGATTCATACTTTCGAACAATGAAACATTTTGTTTGTTTGTTTGTTTTGTTTTGTTTTGTTTTTTTTTTTTTGTTTTGTTTTGTAGTTTCTATTTCTACATCTTCCAGATCTGGTTTGCGATTGGGTGACGGCGACTGGGAGAAGAGGAGGGAATGACGGCAAGCATCCAACGACGTGGCTGGGTTGATGTGCGAGAGGTGATAGAGCGGCGATGGACTAGGAGCTGATCTGTGAGAGATGACAGCGACGGTAGAGGAGAGAGATGGGTAAAATGGGTCAATGTTGGGGTAAAATGGAGAATTAGTAGATGTCAATTTTTGAATTAGATAAAATGGTTGCTTTCATTCAATGACCTTTTCCTTTAGTATCCTAGCTCCCGAATCTAAAATTCTTTGGTTATGATCAGGTCCTTAACTTAGTTTTTATCGTTAAATGTTTCTTAATTCTCTTTTAAAAATTAAGTGGCGACTCTTTGTTGGACAAAGCGAGTTGGTGTGGAAAAAAGGTTTAGACTCAAAAAAAGGTACGTGGCCCACACATACATTACCAAATTCCTCATTAAAGGCTAAATACATATCATAAGTGCAGAAGTAAGAGTACAAATGAATGAATGAAAATATTCTTTCCTGTATTATACAAATGATGAAGCACATAATTACAACATATTACAATGCATGCCCTAAGGCTTACATCAAGATTTACAAATAAAATAATTACTACATTCTTGTTACATTACATGGGTGTTTCGCAAACAATCCATCGATGTTTAAATTACAATAAAAAGAATTTCTCAATTCTTGAATCACGCATCCGATTCTACACTTAAAAAAAAAAATTGTTTTACAACTTGGATGAATACAACGGTCTGTTAGGGATTTACAATGATTCTAACCAATAACATTCTATAGATAAAGATGATCATGAATGCTTACGTTATTCATATACATATATATATATATATAATGATGTCTTTTGATATCCAAAATATTTATATGCATACATATATTTTTCAAAAGAAGTCCTCTTTTGCAATTTAAGAAAAAAAATTCCAATTAAGCAATTATTTTTTTAAAAGTGTTCTTGGACCTTTATTACAATTTAAAAGCTTTACACACATGAACAAACCCAATAGAAGGCTTTTAAGGCCATGAGAACATGCTATTTTAGTAATTTTTTGATTTTTTATAAAAAGATGTATAAAAAAATAGAGAGAATAATATGACAACTTATAATGATTTTTTGACATTTTAACTAAAATGATTACTCCCCAAATGAGACCTTAAGTCATTAGTAACATACTTTTCATTATCACCAACATATCATTCTTCTAAATCATATTTTGGTCTGGGAATCCTCTTCCCATATATATATTCACTCTCATTCTCATCTCCAACCCAACCCAACCCAACCCTCTCTCTCTCTACTCTCTCAAAATAGAAAAACAAGAAATGGGTTCGACAGGAGAGAACAAAACAATACCCATGGAAGAAGCAGAGGAAGAAGAAGCATGTTTGTTTGCCATGCAACTAGCCAGCATCTCAGTCCTTCCCATGGTCTTGAAATCAGCCATAGAGCTCGACCTCCTCGAGACTATCTCTAAGTTGGCTAGCCCTGGTGGCTATGTGTCTCCCTCGGAGATCGCAGCTCACATTCCAACTAAGAACCCAGATGCACCGGTGATGGTGGATCGGATTCTCAGGGTGCTGGCGAGCTACTCTGTTGTAAAGTTTAGTGCCAGAGAGCTCCCCGGTGGAGGAGGGATCGAGAGGCTCTATGGCCTTGCTCCGGTGTGTAAGTTCTTGACTAAAAATGATGATGGAGTTTCGATGGCTCCTCTTCTTCTCATGAGCGGTGACAAGGTCCTTATGGAGAGTTGGTATATTCTTCTTCTGAACTTCTGTCTCTCATTTTCTTTTTCTTTTCTTTTTTTAGATGATAAATTATATTGGTAGCCGTGTAGCTCAATTTTGGTTCTTAAATTTAGAATTTTTGAAGAAAAATATTTATTGAGTTAAAAAATTTATAATTTCACATATAAAACCAAAATACTGTGCATTTATTTTATTTTTATTTTTTTAACAGTTGTAATCATTTGGATCAAGTTGAGATAATTCAAATTATAGGAAGCAAAATAACACATAAATTAAAATATAAGACTACCGATATAATTTACCTTCTTCTTTTTAATAAATATTATTGTATATTTTCAATTACATTACATGACTTAAAATAACATATTTCTACTTTAATTTAACTTAAAATTTGAACGTTGAACACCATATGTTAATAACATTTTGAGTGTCAATAGATGTGTTTAGGTTGTTTTACCTTGTTTTTCCTTTGTTGAGTTGTGTTTAGGTTGTTCTCCCTTTGTTTTCCATTGTTGAGTCGTTTTGGCTGTGGTCAGTTGTAGGCTCAATACCCGGTTAAGAACCCTTTTTTCATTTCAATTTCAAATCGTTTTGTGCTCAGAGTGCTGTGCCATTGTCCATATTTGTGCAAAACAGGATTTGTTCTTTCATAAACTGCAGGGTTCACCCCCGATAAGTGTGAATAGCAAAACAAGGACCTATCTAAAGCTATGTGGGTTCTAGACTGCAAAGCAAAAGAAAAGAAGGAAAATTTAGAGCATCTCAGTGTGTTTCAACCCTAGCAAAATCCGAGACTGCATTCCAGGTGCACTTTCTCAGGCCTCGCCGTTTCTTTGGAGTACGAGTGTATCTCGACCCTAAGTGTAAGCCTGCTTCAAGTCAGAATGGCAGTCCAAGCAGCACTCGAGGGTTTCACATGCAGATGTTATCTCTCGCCAATGTGAACAGGGTGTGCCCTTTTTGAGCTGAGTGTGTTGTGAAGTCCTCTAAGAGGCAAATCAGAGGCACCAGAGTACATGTTTGATGCCCTTCCATTGCATAGAATGTGCACTTTCATATACACTTCTGTTACATGCGTGCCGCGCATCGTTATGATTCATGCATAGAATATGCTTGCTTTTGATTCTGCATAGAATATGCTTTCAATATTGCATAGAATATGCTCCTGTTTCTTGCATAGAAAATGTTCGTATCTTTTGCATAGAAAATGCACTCTTCCATACTTGCGTAGAAAATGCACCTCATTTGCATAGAACATGCATTTTATCACACTGTCTTGTGCACTTACACTTTGTATCTCACTAGCACTGTCTTGTGCACCTTGTGGTTGTATCTCACTCGCACTGTTTTGTGCATTTCAAATCACTCGCACTGTTTAGCGTATCGCACTGTTTAGTGCATTTCAAATCACTCGCGCTGTTTAGCGTATCGCACTGTTTTGTGCATTTCAAATCATTCGCACTGTTTAGCGTATCGCACTGTTTAGTGCATTTCAAATCATTTGCGCTATTTTGCGCATCGCACTGTTTTGTGCAGTTTATCATTCGCGCTATTTTGCGCATCGCACTGTTTTGTGCAGTTTATCATTCGCGCTATTTTGCACACCTCAATCGCACTGTTTTGTGCAGTTTACATTCGCGCTATTTTGCGCATCGCATTGTTTTGTGCAGTTTATCATTCGCGCTATTTTGGGCACCTCAATCGCACTGTTTTGTGCAGTTTATCATTCGTGCTATTTTGCGCAGTTTATCATTCGCGCTATTTTGCGCACCTCAATCGCACTGTTTTGTGCAATTTACATTCGCACTATTTTACGCATCGCACTGTTTTGTGCAGTTTATCATTCGCGCTATTTTGTGCATCGCACTGTTTTGTGCAGTTTACATTCGCGCTATTTTGCGCATCGCACTATTTAGTGCATTTCAAATCATTCGTGCTGTTTTGTGTATCGCACTGTCTTGTGCACTTCCGCATTTGTAATCACTCGGGCTTTCTTGCGCATCGCACTGTTTTGTGCAGTTTACACTCGCGCTATTTAGCGTATCGCACTGTTTTGTGTATTACATTGTATTATTCGCGCTATCTTGCGCATCCCACCTGCACTTGTTAGTGCATTGCATCACGCTATCTTGCGCACCTTACATGCATGTGTTAATGCATTGCATCGCGCTATCTTGCGCACCTTATCTGTATCGCATTGTTTTGTGCAATCACCATTCTCATACTGTTTTGTACACCTTTAGCATCGCACTATTTTGTGCATCTTCTTAGCACTGTTTTGTGCATTCACTCTGCATCGCACTGTCTTGTGCACATTGTATTTTTGCATCATTCGCACTGTCTTGTGCACTCCTCGGTCTAGGAAACCTTAAATCTTCTAAAGGTGCAATTCCTTTGGTGTTTGTCGTGCCCGAACGACTTGCGGTGGTCTGGTATAGCCACCTGCCTGTGTTTGCGGTGAGTTCCTAGGAGACCAACTGAGACGGTGGAAACTAGAGTTCGAATGGCTCATGCCTAGAACACAAAGGTTCGGGATTTCCGAGACTAAAGTCTGGTTTAAATACCTAGGGGTATATCCTCGGCTTGAAATCTATATGGCAGCCCCATAGATTGAGATAGCATCTGTACGCACCTCAATTCTGGATACTGAACCAACCTAGTCTGTCACCCTGTTGGAGAATAGGGAAAGCTGCGGCCACAGCCAAGGAGAAAAGTAGCACCTACAGTTTAACCAAGAAGAAGCGGAAGGTCCTCAGCAGCATGAGGTAGGTCATTGCCAATTGCCCCTGTAAGGTACCTTCGCTTTCTAGCTATTACATTGCATTTTTTTTTTACATTGCATTGTATGGCATAAATCCCCAATTATCAAACCGGCTTCGCGTAGCGTATAAGTCCAATTTTCAAACCATCTTCGCGTAGCGTATAAGTCCAATTATCAAAATCTTTCTGCATATCATTTTGCATCCTGCCCCTGAACTACGCTGGTTTGATTCTTTGCAAAGGGATACGTAGGCGGCCTACGGGCGCAACCATTTATTTGTCTGTACTTTGTTTGTTTGTCAAAGTCTTCGGCCTTGCCAAAAATGGGTTGTCTCTGGGCTTTGACATTCACTCCCGTCACGAATGACTTTCGAGTTCTGTCAAAGAGGGGCAACTGTAGACACCCCATTTTTGACCGACCTTAAGACTTAGACGTCACCGGTTGAGCGCTCGGTGATGTTGCATATTGTACTCGTTCTGAGGTTTCAGAGTCTCGGTTACGAGCTTTGCCTCCGGATTTCGAGACTCTTTTGTGCTTTGCCACGGTTTGCGAACCAGGTCCTGTTTTCTCTTCCCGAAGGGCGGGAGAGGTCTCGTAGACCATCTCTCAGTGGCCATAGGCTACGTTTCGCGGTCGTAGGCCATTTTTCCCGTTTGGAGCCCAGTTTTCGAATTTTGGAACCATCGGCCGTGTGCCTCGGTTCGGGACCGCTTAACTGCCTCCGTTTGCTCCAGTTTTTGGTGCACACCTTATTGCCTCCCTTTAGAGGGACATTGTGGCCCGGGAGACCACCGTCGTGGTCATACGCCACTTCCGGTGCCTAACAGCCTGTTTTCGGGGCTCCGAACCGCACGTTTTGGACTCCGAACCTTCGTTTTGCATCCGTTTTGGTCCATTTTTAGTAGGGACCCTATTTTCACTGTTAGGGAGGGGGTAGTATGGTGGCCGGCCACCTTTTCCCTTGAAAGGCCAGTTTTCTCATTTTCTCTCTCCAAAAGTCGATTTTTCTGACAGAAAGCTGGTTTTTCTCACTTTTGAGCCACATTTTTTTGGCTTTTCATACCACCATTGTATTGTGCTCATCTGGGAGGCCACCAATATGGGTAGACCGGCTAGAAATTCATCTTGACCCTTTTGAACCTTGCTTAAAAGCTAGCTTTTCTCTCTCTTGGGTCACATTTTCTGGTTTTTCTCTACATAGCTGTGTTGCACTCATCTGGGAGGCCACCTTTCTGAGGTGGCCGGCCAGAAAATTTTGTTGACCCTTTTGACCCCTGGTTGGCTGACCAGGGGGGGTGGCCGGCCGGCCACTTGAACTGGCCGGCCTGCTTCTTGCTTTTTGCTTTTTCTGAGTGTAGTCCAGCTGTGCCAGCTGGAGGCCATTTGGTGTATCCTCCATACACGTGTATGGAGGATACTTGGGGACCTTTTTGGATATTTTGGAGCCTCTCCTCTATAAAGGAGAGGCTTAGCTACCTTGCGCACCATACCTGCACTTGTTAGTGCATTGCATCACGCTATCTTGCGCACCTTACCTGCACATGTTAGTGCATTGCATCGCGCTATCTTGCGCACCTTATCTGTATCGCACTATTTTGTGCAATCACCATTCTCGTACTGTTTTGTACACCTTTAGCATCGCACTATTTTGTGCATCTTCTTAGCACTGTTTTGTGCATTCACTCTGCATCGCACTGTCTTGTGCACATTGTATTTTTGCATCATTCGCACTGTCTTGTGCACTCCTCGGTCTAGGAGACCTTAAATCTTCTGATCGAAGATCTTCAGAGAACTGTGG